CAAGGAAACATGATTCTTTCAAATACATGATTCAAGAGGGCACTCTAACATCGGATTTAATGACAATAAATTCTGATTTAAGTTATTTTTCTTTTCCTAAGTTTGCAGTTAGCATATGTCTAGATTTATGATGTAGCTGCAACCTGTTCCTCCCCCCTTCCCCGCAGAAATAGCTCGTTTCTGCCAGAAGAATTCTGGAATTCTTGATTAAAAATGTGGCTTCTATATTTAATTGTTAAAAAATTACTCCTGTGTGTGAAAGCTGTAAAAATGAATCTTCTTGGTATTTTTTTTTTTTTGTTGGTTAATCTTTATTCATCCTCGTATCCTTAACTTAAGAAGACTTTATTAGTTGTTGGTTCTTTTCTTCATTCTGTTTTTTTATTTCTTCCTCTTATTTCAGCATTTGTTTTTATTTTTCATAGTGTCTTACAGTTTTGATTATGTGCTCTCACAAATTCTTTTTCTGTAAACTGGTAGCTTTATTTTATCAGCAAACCTTGTAGGAAGACTTAGTGTTTTACAGGAATGTCTTTTTTCTCTGTAGCTTTTTTTTTTTTTTTTTAACATGTATTTAACTTTAAACCCCTTGTTTTATTTAGCTGTCTGTATGCTGACACAGCATGATTTTTATTTCCAGTAAATGAAAGAAAAACACATCCACCCGTATGGTTTTGAGACTGAAAAACAGCCTTGGTCTACAACAATTCTGGCTGTTTAGTAGTTTTAAGTACTTAATTTAGCATTTTTATTATATTTCATCACTTGGGAAATGAACACAGGCCTTTTACCCATTCAGTAGTTCTTCTCGTTGGGTTATTTGTTCAGGTGGGATTTTTGCTGATTTCTTTTTCTTAGTATAATGTTGGGTTTTCTATTACAGACTTCGGTTGAAATGTGGAACTGATGTTTTTGCTGTGAATTGCTGAGTAGTCCCTGAAAAATCACTTTAATACAGCCGTGTGAACTGCTATGATTGGTTAAAAAAAAAAAACAAGTTGGTTAAGTTTAAGTTTTAAAGTTAAAGCCAACTGCTTTACCAGTAAATGTGAAGGGATGCTTCTTGGTTTACTGTGTGTGCTGTGCTCTTTGAAAATAAAGTATGTTTTGCAAGACTCTACTGAAGCTTGTGGAATAAAGTTTTGAGGTGACTGGAGGTCTTTGCAATGTCAAAAATAGAAAATTAATGGCTTTCTCCCTGAGGACTGTGGGCTGCTTCTGAAGAAACCAGAAGTAATTTAAAGGACTGATCTACTGTTAGTAGGTTTGCTGCCCGTGGTCTTGTCATCCCATAGGAAAATTTCAGTATATTTGAAGTGAACATTTGAGGGTCACTGAACTAAAAATATGGATTTAGATATGATGGTATTGACCAATGAAAACGAGTTTATCAAATTGGGGGGTTTCTGCCTTCTTTCTGTTGTCCCTTGCTTTGGGCTGTTGAGCCTTGAATCTCTGCTCTAAACAAGTGCTTCTGGTGAGCACTTCATATCTGAGTGAGAGCAGGGGGTTGTTTCTGCACATTTCCCATTGCTCTCTAATCAATTCTAGCTTTGAAAAATAAAGTGTGAGGAGGGAACACAGAATGAACAATGGGAGGATCGGCGGAAGTTCTGGGAGAGAAATGAGTGGTGTGGTGTATGGCCCAAAATCCAAAGGGTCTTCTCTGTCACTGTCACTCTAGCCATCTCAATGCTGATCTGTCTTTTTTTCTAGGACTACGTAGCTCTTACATACGTAGTTCAGAGTGCATGCACAAATCAAAATAACTCATATGTCCAAATGTGCTGTAATTCGGATTCTCTACAGAGGTCCTTATCATTTGTTTCCCTGTGTGTTTTATTGTTTCTTCCTTTTCTTCAGCACGTGTGGAAGCCAAGTTTATATCCTGACTACCTTTGTGCTTAATTCATATGTAAGTTTTGTGAGTATAATCAACACTGATGAAGTTTATTTGCAAACATAAATCTCAGCCTGCATCAGTTCTGAACAAGAACAGAACAGGTAATGGTCACGATGTGTGAATACAAATGCTATTTAGTGACATAGAATCATAGAATCATAGAATCACTAAGGTTGGAAAAGACCTAAAAGATCACCCAGTCCAACCGTTCACCTATTCCCAATAGCTCCTACTAAACCATGTCCCTCAACACAACATCCAGACAAAGATGATCAGAGTCTCTTGCTGCTTCAGTGCTTTAATTTCAGTTGTCAGTCTGGTATGTCAAGCAAAGTCCAGGGAATGCAAGGCTAATAGTAGCAAAGTAGCATTGTTGTGTGGTGTTTTAAAATAACTGTGTATTCTAGTAAATTTTGAGATTTTTTTTTTAATAAAGTGTTACAGAATAAACAATATCGAAAAAAACAGAAGACCAATACCAGAACAAAAAAATCTCCAGCCCCCTCTGAGTGACAGCATCACTGATTTGAAAGGAAACTGCATTTATCACCCTGAAAAGGCATAGAAACAGCTTCTACTATGAGAACAATCTCTGGCTTCAGGGGCTGGCTAGTTTTTACTGAAGTGAGTTAAGTATAACGGGTTAAATCCACACTGATTTAACAAATGCTTAAGCTTCCTAGAACTGCCTTATTCTTGTAAGCCTCTCAGACGTGCCATCTAAATTAGGTTGTTTGCTTGTTCTAATAAAAATCCTGATCAGATAGAACTCTTCTGAGGATTATTTGTCTGAGTGAAAAATTAGGCAGCCTAAGCACACTTCCAGGAAACAGGAGACTTGGATATTTGCCTGATACTGGTTGCTCTTCCAAATGATCTATAGTGAATCTCATGCCTCCTCTTCCTCTGCATCCCATAACGAGTGATACTCCTGCTGCAGTTCCCATGGCTCATGGTGCCCTTAATTTGGGCTTCCATTCACCTTTATGCCCCTGCCCTCCTCTGGTTCTGGGAAGGGAGGCTGATGGCTCCTTGGGTGGGACTGGGAGCAAGCAGGAATTATTTGGGCTTTCTCCACTGCTTTCATCTTTTTGTGCTCCTGTGTGTGTGTGCAGGGAACTTTTTATCAGTTAGCTGGGGTAGGCTTTCTCCTTACAGCAGCATAATATATGCAGTAGTAAAACTATTATATGGTGAAGTCCTCTCAGTTGGCAGCTGCATGTCCGCATCTACTGCTGGAAGAGTGCATTTTCAGATGGCTGCTGCTGAGGGTGGCAGTACCTGTGCCATTACACAATGAATGGAGCTAGAGATAGGTCAGATGCTCACATGTGTGCCATATTCTTACTGATGACTGGAAGACATAGCACCTGTGGTGCTTCATGACTTTTTTTTTTTTTTTTCTTTCTTCAGTCTTGTGTTTTTCTTAGCTGTTTTTACATCAAGTAGTTCTTACCATTTGATGTCTCCTGGTTATAGCTTTTGAACTGTATTTGGATTCTGCTTTTTATATGACTGTTAGTCTGGTTCTTCTCTATATTTGATAATTTCCATTTTTTTGTAGGACAGAAGTTCAAACTATCACTGTTAAATATAGATTGGCTACAATCCAGTTCAGGCACTGTGGCCTTCTTACTGTATTATTTACTTCAATTTTTATTTTTTACCCTTTTTTACATAGTCTGTGTTAGTTCCTTTTGGAATTGTTACTAAATCAGCATAAATCAATGTGACCTTTTTTTTTTTTTTTTTTTCTTTTCAGAAATTCTTTGGGTAGATCTGTCATGGTCTATGTTTGTAAGGCTACGTTCTCATTTCTTGCTTTTATATTTTAATTATTCTTAGGTACAATTAAGATAATCTGAGGGAAGGACTGTTTTCCTTAGGCCTAACTTTCGTCAAAATGTCATGTAAGATAGAAGGAAAAAGTTTCATGAGACTTGGCAGCTCTTCCTGTTACAGCTCACTATCTTTACAAGCCCAAATGCCTTTCAGCCTGACGTTACCATCAGTTTAAAGTACAGTTACTGTCTTGATCTTCTCTTTCAGAAGCTGTTTGGCAGGGATCAGCTTAACCAACTCAAGGCCAGCCGTGGTGCGAGTTACATTTGTCTGGAAAGGAAGCTACTGAAATTCATAGATTCTTCCTAGGCCAGTTTTTTTGGGGTAACTTTTCAAGAGTCAGAGTTGAAAACTTGACATTTATCCTCTCTAAATATGAACATCAAGACAAAACACTGCTTTCTCTATTTATGGGGAAAATACATGTTGAATTATGTGTCAACAAATACGTTGCCTTCACCATGGCAATCAAATCTCTTTATCTACCAATTAAGCAAATATAATAAAAGGTTATGAGCCCAGCAACAAAGCTGTTAAACAACAGTACTGCTTTCTGCCTCTTATCACCAAATCATGAAAAACAATTGTAAAATCAGACCAGTCTTGTGAAGTCAAAAAGCAGATCAGAATGGATGTACAGAATGCTTGAGGTGATTCTACAAAGGAAGCCTAAATTGTTCATTGAAAGATTAGTGACAGTCCTTCCTTAGCCCCTAAACTGAAAGGCTTTTCTTTGCATCACCTTACATAGAATGCTACTTTTGCTGCAGTACACTAATGCACGTAATTCAGACCACTGGAATTAAAAAGCTGCATGGGTGAATGGTGGTGTTCCTGCTCAAGCTCACCAGCTTAGTAACATTAATCAGCTACAGTGAGGCTTGGATGTTCAGCGTGTGCTGAACACTGATGGTACAGCAGGAACCTGAAAATCAGGTACAAGTCAATATGCTTCTTCAGCTGGGACTGATAATGAACAGCACAAAAGAGCCACCTGAACTGAAAAGCATTAAAGCTGCTTCTAAGAAGCAAGAAGGCTGTGTCACTTGCTTTCAAAGTGTTTACTGGAAAGTGTATGGGAACTGTTGAGTCAGGCCTGAACCCTTGATTGATCACCTGGGGAAAGGACTGAGTCAGCCATGAAAGCACAGGTGAAGGCAATTCAGCTGTGTGACCAGAAGGGGTGGAGCCTGGCTGCATCTCTCCTAGACCCATTTAAGGGCTGACTGCCACCGGGGAAGGGTCTTTTTCTGGAGGTCTCTCCCTGGTGGAGCTTTCCCCTGCAAACCTAGAATCTGCTGATACAGGTGAGCAATCTTCTTCCATTCTTTATATAGCACCTTTCTATTTTGCTGGTTCTTTCGTCATTGTGCCTTTGTAGTAATACCTTTTCCATTGTATTGATCTGTCTAGTTACTACAGAAAGTGATAGAGAAGAAGTGTGTAGTCTTATTTAAATTGTTTTCTGTATTGTAGTGCTGTTAAACTCTCTATTGTTTCTATGTACATTAGAGGGGATCTGTGCAGTAGGTGGACTTAACTGATTATGCTGATAAAAGTAATCTGAAAAATCATTTGTTTGTTCTCTCAAACACTGTGGCCTACATGCAGCATAGTTCTGATCTAAATGCTGTTATTTTTGAGTGATTGTACAACAGAGCTTTAATTTTCAAGGATCAATGCATTGCACATACAATTTTTTAATATCTTTGTATAGATATCTGGCTTGCAGTGGTATCTTTGGTTGCAATGCATATCTTCTAGGTTTGTAGATATCACCACGGTGTACAGAGAATTCATACCATTCTTGTTAAAATTGTGTTTTCTCTAATGTTTTAGGCAAGGTATGTTATTGGTACTTGGTGCCGTTAGAGACTGGATTTCAGAAACAGGTTTCAGCTTGTATGCTTTGTAGTGCAAAAGGTACTAAGAAGCTCTGGTATTAATATACTTGTTCTTTAAGAAAAACTTGATACTCTCTGATTTTTAAAATGTTTCTCTGCGTGTTCCACAGATGGTCTGTTTATGGTTGGTTGATATATTTATAAGGAGCCAGTAAGTTGCACAACCTGCGAAGGCTGTTATCATTTTACCTTCAAACTGTTCTTGCTATTTTCAGTTGCCTTCCACCTTCTCGATCAAACTCTATTACTTGCTTCTGCGTATAGAGGTATAAATTTTGTTTGTGTATTAGCATTAGCATCTATTTGCTGCTTAACCTGCTCTGACCTCCACCACCCGCGCATTTTTTTCTCCCTTTCTTGCTACCAGGTTTTTGAAGTTTTAGTTTAAATTAGGATATTCTCAACTTCTACATTAGATATATTTGCTTAAGTCATAGAAGCCATAGTTTGAAGATAGCAGCAGGAGGATTAATTCAGCACCTTTGCCGAATAGATTAACTTGTACTTAAAAGAAGCCTTATTCCTAGATTCTAAAGCTCCTTATAGAAAATCGTCTTCAAGATGTGAGACTGAGGAAAACAAACAAACAAAAACCCAATGAAGTATGTGATATCTTCCAAGGGGTGAAGTTTATAAAGACCTCTCTTAATGCATTCTGAAATGTATCTGCAGATACAGTCCATACTACAGTTGCTAGTTGCCTCAAATAAAGAGCAGGAGGGAAAGCAGAGACTGAGACAATATGTTAACAGCTGGTAGAACTCTTGTGACTTGCAAAGTAGAACTAACTTTCTATCTCCTAAAAGAAGTCTAGATAGAGTGAGTAAAGATATTAATTAACCTTTCCTAGTGATAAATCTCTGTGAAGTGTAATTGGTTTGAGTCTTCTATGCTTTTATATTTGCTGGCTCTTGGCTGATTGAACAGTCTGTTGGCATTTGACCTATGGAAAACGAGGCTGATCTCAATGCTAAGGTTGTGCGTGACTCCTGCATCTGCAGGTGGATATTTGTATGACCATACGCAATTATCCTACTGCGCTATTCTGAGTTTCCCAGATTGCTCTTGCATAATTCAACAAAACTAGCAAAAACAAAACCTGAACTAGTGTTTTTTCAAATTAGTCAGTATGCTGTCTATTTTTGTTTTTACGTGCATTTATTTAATTTAGAAGCCTCATGTTTTTTCTACTTATTTGGTTTCTCAGTGAGATGGCATTTATGCACTTTATCAGTATTCCCTCAGTATGGGTAGTGTGAAAATATAGGAATAAATACCCTTCCAGCAGGTTGCAGCCTTCATTTTTGTACATGAATCTTAGTGGAAGTTATGAAGAAATGGTACCATTTGAACTGATTGGAAAGAAAATTGAAACAATAATGAAGGTGCAGACTTAAATAATAGTAAACCTTCTGACTAGAAAACTGTCTTTTTACTGATGCTCTATTAAACTGCAGCAAAGCAGTCTTTAGTCTTTTACTGTTTGATGTTACGTGTTGCGGTGTTTGTAGTGCAATATATGTTTAAAGTATGTCATAATCCTTCTGGATTTTGGTCAGTTTAATGCTTCTGTGTCTTTCTAGATGTAGCTCTGCTCCTGGGTGAGTTGTTAATGGTAAGGTAGCTGAACAGTCATTATGTTGTAGTATGCAATTCTGCCTACTTAAATAGAGGAGCTACTCAACTATTAGCTTCTTTCTGTCATTATGCTCAATCTGCCTGACCCTCAAACAGTAATAATGATAGCATGAAGGGTGCAATGGGGAAAGTGGCTAAAAATAAATACTCATTCATGATAAATTCTCATGACTTCTGTGATGAGGGGAAATTACTTGCATTTATTGCCAGATCAGCTAACCTTTCAATTTTCAGAGAAAGCTTTTACGATGAGATCAGAGGACAACGTCACATTATAGGTTTTATTTAAAAGAGGCAAACTTAACATTCACTCCTATTTCTTGCTTCCTGGCGCTAGGTAAATAGACAAATATTTCTTCTTTGAAAAAGAGCATCTGAGATATTGAGACAAATGAAACGCCTGGTGAATATAACTCCTTTATTCTATTACAGATTTCTCTAGATAAAATCTTAAGCAACTTCATCAACTATAATTTGTATCTCAGAAATAGTTGGTAACCTGAATTGTGACTGAATCCTGTTGTAACTCTTTAAACTTTGCTCCAAACCATGTGCAAGAGGACTTTGGCATTGTTAAGTTGGGAGCATTTGTTTGCCAGCAGTAGCAACTCAGTGCCTTTTGGTTGCTTATCTTCAGTGAAAAGTCATGATTTGGTCAGTGCGTTTCCCTGTATGGGCAAGATATACTTCACCTTTTAATAAATAGCAGGCTTTTATTTGTGTCTCCAAATGTTTAAAGGATCCCTCGGAGTTCTTGCTAACCAACCACTGCTGACGAGGGGACAGGGACTGAACAGCTGCGAGCTCATCAGCTATTTCCCATCCTGACCTGCATGTGACCAGCAGGAAATGGAGCTATGGGCCTGGTTCTATTTTATCCATTCTGTAAGTGAGCCTTCTGCTTTCTGATGGGCCCCTCCCCTTGGTTGTGGATGTGCTCTATGGGTGTTCCCAGACTGACTTCTCATGACCTGGCTCCTGATGTTACCTAGTATATGGCCTGGTTCTCAGCCCCGATATCTGCTTACCATTAGCCTGTCTTAGTTTACTTCTCTTTAGGACTCTGCACTTTTGTTTGTTCTGTGAACTCCTGGTAAGGCTATGCTGCCAGCACTGTTGGTTCTGTAACTCTGCTTTGTTTAGATTTTTCTTCTGTGAGTTTGTTTGTCAATATGTTTTCATGAACGTGGGTGCATTTTCTACTCTTTTCCTCATGGTAATCAGGCAAGCAGAGATTTCTTTTGTGCCTGAAACCCAGACAGTAATTTGACAGATTAATGTCGTAAAATAACAGCAGTATGTTAACATATATAACTCTGAAGCCATTATTAGAACTATTTCAACAAACTCTTGTTCAATTATTTATTTCAGATGGGACGTTATATTCATTGTGCTTTTGTGATAATCTTTCTTTCTTATTCAGTGCATAGGCTTGGTGTTTTGTTGTTTTTGCTACCCAGAACCTGCTGAGTAGTAACATAAGGGTTTTGATGCTGCTTTTTTTATCAGTTTAATTGAGATTAAGCAACGGAGGTGTCAAGGCTTACTGTAACATTGCTCCTTCCTGAGTTCAGTGACTGAATTCCTGACATCTGCACATGACTTTTGTTCCTTCTACCTTTCCTGGTCGATATACTATTGGAACTGGTACTTGTTTTAAGTAGGCTTCAACTATTTCCTTTGATATTTAATAATTTGTTGGGCACCTTGTGAGAGCAGTAGCAAGTCTGCAAAAAAACAGAATTGAGAAGAACATGTATCATGAACAAGTTGTACTTAACTTGTGCCTAATCTTGCACATATTTAGTTTTGTTCATAATGCATGGAGACTAACGCAGGTGATCTGATCTGGAAGAAATGGTAGAATAAATGCTGTACTTTGGCAAATGTCCTTTAATACCATGCCATGACCTTTAATACCATTAAGACAACATGCCTCTGAAATTACTCTTATTTGATGAGGACATTTTAAAAGATGAATTTAGGACATAAGTTTTTTTTTTTTCCTTTTTCAGGAGTTACGTAATGGAGATGAGCTACACTGATACAGTGAGAACTAAATCTTTGAAGGCCATAAAAATGGCAATCTGGAAAAAAAAAAAAAGTAAAATGAACAAAACATAGATATTCAAAGAATAGCCTGGAACGCTTAGTTTGTCTGTAAACAAAATGTTATTGGATTTTAATTTGAAGGAAAGCATTCTGATTTGTGTAATCTTGGTTAAAGCTATTCACTGAACTGCAACCTAATGCACAAACAGCTTTGTCTCTGAATATGTGTTTTCTAAAAGCAAATGAGCCTTGTTAAATATTGCCTGGGTTTCTATGCAATGTACCATAGCACTCTGTACATAGGTAATTATGCTCTAGCTGCAGTCTTTTCATTTTCAGGTATATGAGTGACGCTCCTAACTTAACAAAAACTGAGGGGAACTCATGTATAGTGTAGCCATTTTCCCCAGTGATTTTCCACATGTTGAATGGGATAAAGTGGTATTTGGTTTAATAATTGGAATAAAAATGTCTTGTTTATGTAAATGTTGGATCTCTATTATATTACATTGTTTTCTGAATTTTTAACCTAAACATTATTTGTTTTTATATTGCTATAATTTAGTCAAACTTAATTGGAATATTTTTCACTACTGAAATTAAATACACAGGAGTGTCCTGTTTTCCTGTGAAATATACTCCGTTTGTATGTGTTGTAATTCTTTCTCTGCCTGAGGGAATTTAACTCGTGTCCCTATAGTACTTGAGCATGG